AACGAGCAGTAACCGAAACTCCTTTTTGAGTTACTTTAAATTCAAAGTTCAAAGTAAGGGCAGACGATATGGCCTCAATATTAGATCGTAATATCCCTTAAAGCCATCCTTTACGAGCATGTAACCACGTCAGTAATAAGGACTTACTGCTTGCCTTTCCTCTCATATGGAATGCAACTATTGACGCTCAGTTGAGTCATTTATTTACATTTGGTCCACACCTTACCTGTGCCTGACGTGTGATTCTTGCTCATTCCTGGGTGTGTCTCTTTGTTTGTCTGACATTTTTACATTATTCATATATTTATGCTTCTTTGTGATATGATATGGCACAGTCCTAGTTCAAAGATCACTGGAATATAACAACTGCTAATCTGCTGGGGGTTTTTTTAAAAAAGAAAGAAAGAAAAACAGAAAAAGAGAGTTGAAAGATGAAACCAAAACAAAAGTGCCAAAAACTGCAGCTCCTCTTGTGGCAACTTGAGGCTGGTTTCAAAAGAGAGTCAATCACCATAGATTCCCATGTTAAAATATCCCACTCTGCTGCATTAAAAAGCATGATGACAGCCAGGTGCAAAATACTGTACTGGCCTCTGGACTTTGCTAAGCCTCATCCACTAGTTCCCGTCATTACATTAGAGCTCCTTCACTACCTGTGACTATTTTGTATTATTATATGTTTTCCTGTCATTTAAGAAGGAATTAAAAAGCGGTCATTTTATGTTGTTTATACCCATGTGTTAGCTCATTGCCTGTGAAAAATGTGCTTTATAATGTGTTTTCTGGCACCCTTACTTTGTAACAGCATGTTTGTCTGTTCCTGTGTGTTAGTGGCATCTGTATGAAGCATACGGCTGGAAGCGTTTGTGGATGCTCTTGTAAGCGTATATTAACAAAAGTGGACAGAGTCATTATTGAATCTTGCTGTGTGGCAGCTGCAGGCACTGCCAGGGGTGGAGGATGGATGAAGGATGACTGCACTGCTGTGGGGGTCCAGTGTAGAGGAGAGAGTGTGTTGTTCTGTCTGTGGTTGTGTTCTTGTTAGTGCACATGTGAAGAAGGCCTGCTGATTCCTCACAGGCACTCTGTCAGACAGTATTAATTAAACAATGTCATGCTTTTCTGCTCCGGCTCATAAACTCAATACAGATTACAAATATTTACCAGAAGAGATGGCTATTCCCTGAAACTGCTCGGTTGCTTTTTCTGTCTTTCTTGTTCAGTCTTTTGTTCTTTCATTTATGACAGCACTCGTCATGCTCTTTTGAAATCTGCTGTACATCTCGGAGCTCTTATTCTCTGTTGTGACCCACGTGAGGATGTTAAAACATTTATTGCATGAACACTAGAAGAAAAGGGCAACGAGAGAGCAGGAATTTTCCTAGATCTCACAAAATGTTGAAAGGAAACTGTTTAAAAATCTATCACAGCCTCCTGTTAAGCAGGAATCCAGGAAATCACACTGGAGCTGTGCAATAAAGCCGCACAAAGCGAGTGACATTTTGACAGCTGCTGTAGACAAGTAAAAGGCTCAAAATAGTAAGGAGACATTGATCTCAAATGCCAGAAATCCTGGGAGATAACACAGCATACCCGGGTACAAAATTGGCTGGGCAGTGATGCTTAAAGGGGAGTGCTGCCAATTTTACACATGAAGATACATATTACAGTGTTTGACAGTCCATATTTTGTGGCGACTCTCAGGAGGGACCAGAAATGAACCCTCTAAAGCCTGAACGATGAAATAACTGACAGAAAAGTAGCTTGTCTGACAAATTTAAAAATATT